TGTGCGCAGAGGTGCTGTGTGAGGGCAGCTGCCGGTGACAGTGCGGTGGTGGCCGCCAGCAGCAGCATGGTGGCAGTCACAGCCACCGCATGCCAGCACCACTACCGTGCCCCATGCTGCTTGCCCAGAGCAGGGCCGGGAGGGAGCAGGGGCTCGCATGCGGTGGCCACAATTGCACCCCACATCCTGTGCAGCCTTCCTGCCACCAACTGCAGGCAAGCAGCATGAGGTGCAGCAGTGCAGTGGCAGCAGCAGCTGCCACGTGCAAACTCCCTCTCACCCCTCGCTGGGCAGCAGTGTGTGGCCTGCAAGGGGCACCGCTGCCCTCATCCCCCCCAGTCGGGAGCAGGTGCAGACATGCACTCCTCCCCCAGTCTCAATCTGCACACCCAACCCCTTCCTCCCCCGCCCCACGCACCTACCTGCTGGTGTGTTTGTGCGTCTGTGGGGCTGGGGGGCTGTTGTGGGGGGAGTAAGGGGCACAAACAGGACTGGAGAGGCTGGGGGGGTGGGAGTGGCTTTAATTTTTATCATGGATTTTGGATTTTTTTTTAAAATCAGAGAATCTGTCATTTTTTAAAATCAGAAAACACTAGAATCCCTGTTGATTAGGTAGTAGAGGGTAGAGCAGTTTGGTGCTACTCCCGCCTCACTTCAGTGAATTTGCATTGAGATGGGATCTGCTGTTTTAGCACCTCTCAATCACTAACCTACCCAAATTCCAACTGTGCATGGATATATGGAGCTCCTGGGCTCTGCAATGCAGAGAAATTGGTCATACCCTGCTGCTCAGTACTGCCAAACCTTGCCAAACTAGGCTGTGGAAGTGGCACTGCCAAGAGGTCTTCTACAGAGCAGCATTATTCCCTAAATGTGTAGCTCCTGTAGGGACTGATCAATATAGGTCAGACTTCAGTCTGATGTTACTTTTTATTTAAAAACTGCAACTGAGCCTGATAAACTCATTCCCCTAACTTCAGCCAAACTGAACTGGTCAACTTTACAGTACCTCTGGAACAAAAGACCATATTGTTGAGCCACTACCTGATGTCCAGTCAGTAATATAAAAAAGACCAGCAACATTAGGCACAACGCATACAGATATAGTACAGCCTAAATCATGCATTTTGCTCCATGGAACAAAGCCTTCTAAGCACTAAACCCTTAATCCTCCCAGGACTAATAACAGACACTCAAGTCCTTGCGCAATTGCTTTTATAAGGCAGACCAAGAACCACTTTGCACACAAGTCAGCAAATCAATAGACAAACATTCCCAAGGAAGCCAGAGAATATTCCGACTTTAAAACCGTGGGTAGCTTACAAGGTGGAAAAGATCAGGGATTAGGTTTTGATGCGTAAATTCCTGGATCTCTGATCTCTGCTCTATCCCCTTTTCCACAATGAACCTACATACTCCATTCCAATGATATTTACCTGCCACTGTGAAACACTATAAAATCTTCCCAATCACATTAATTGTGAATCTCTAGACCAGTGATTCTCAATCAAGGTACCAAGGCACCTCACGATGCCTTGAAAACAATTCAGTGGTGCCATGGGGTACCACAAAATGTTAGCACTGTTAGATGTGCAAACAAAGTTCACACGATAAAACCCAGAGATTTCACATTGGAATCCACAATGTTAAAAATATTCTGCCCTGTTGTGGTCTGAGTTCTTTACAAGAGAAGAAGAATTGCTCTATTATTTTCCTGTAGTTTTCACTTGTTCTTTTTTGATTACAAGCTGGCAGTTTGAGGGGCATCGCAAGTCTAAGACGACTGAGAACCACCACTCTAGAAATTCACCCATTATCATAGGTAACTAATGTCTGATAGATTAGTACAGAACTAACTCATTGCCTAGCCAGAGAAACAGTTTTACATGGGCATATTTAAGAGAATCTTAGAACCTGAAAATATATTCCTTTTGATTAAATGGGACAATACCTGTAGAGCTGCAATGAACTTTTAAAGGTGCATGCACACTGCACATACACATACAGCACACACATTCATGGTGCAACAAATGTGTTAATTGCACCATAAATAGTAACAGTACTACACGTTCAGCCAACTTGTAGCACCATAAAGCAGGAAACCATTCTCAAAGATATTCAACAAAATACATGGAACATTTTTGTGGTCCGTTTGTATGGCACCAACTGAACGTGTAGCATGCTCTACTTGCCATGGTAGTGATTCTGTCGAATTTGGCACAAACATTCACTTCTATTGCTAGAAAAAACAACATATTGGAACACATTAACCAGGAGTCCTGAATAGCATTCACAAGAGAATTATCACAGGAACCTAGCTCCTGGCAGCACTAGACAAATTCCAGAAAAGTTAAATTTAAAAATCACTATTATTAAAAATATTAAGCCATACCTTTTTAGATTTATTTCTGAGTGTGTATCCTCTGTACCAGCCTGTCAGGAGACAACAAAAATATATGATTCTTCACATACAGTAATTCAACATTCAGAACTGTTAGCACCACCCATCCCCAGTCTCAGCACATTTAATCTGTCACCAAGTTCTGCTAGTGTTACTCATCTGAGATACCCATCTGACTCTAATGACACTAACAATGTGAACATGGTCAGTGATATTTGGCCCTATAACACATTGTGTCATAAGAATGTCTTTTCCTATTATGAAATGGGCTTGGCCCATTAGCTGGAACAGTTTTTCAGCAATATTTATTATTTCCTATTAGGGATGCATTTACAGATCCCAAGTTGGAACATCTCTCTTATGTTGGGCTCAGTACATCTATACTGCAAAAGACTACCTCTATCTCAGAAAGCCGTCACCTAAGCAGCCCAAATGTAAAAGGGTTAAACAACAGATATATTCTTACATTTGACAAAGAGGAAACAGAAACATGGAGAGAACTGGTCACATAGTGAATCTATAGAATTGGGATCTGAACACACATCTTCCAAGACCAAACTACCCTTCTTCTCAACTGCACTTTAACTCAATTCTCCATGTTCTCAAACCTTAGGCTATACAAACTGCTTCCCACACAAGATTCCTTTTAAGGCAGGCTGAAAGAGAAATTCGTAGAACATCATAATTTTATGAGACAAGGACAAGAGAACTGTTTGCCTCAGATGTAGATATTATTTCTCTTTATTGACTTTGCGACAAGGTTCAGTAAAGCATAAGTTACAGAGTAATAGCTGTGTTCTTACAGACCAGAAGTATATCACTTCTGGCAGAACATTTCTTCCTTCTTCAGTATTTGGGGTTCAGCCAACATTTTGATTTCAAGGTCACTGGAATGCAAGAGTATGAATGAATTAGTGTATTCTGTCAGCTGCCCAAAGTGAGCCTTACCTAGCAGCTGGACAACTAAGCTCACTGGAGTAGAAGGGTGGCCTTTTGGGACAGAACTGGAACTGGCGGGATCTGGGTTGTAATACCACTCCTAAACAGAGTCCCTCATCAACCCAGAGCAAGCTGCTTCACTTTGTGCATTTTTCCCCCTCACCTGCAAACCATTGAATACACCATTTACTTTCTTCCCCACCATTTGTCTTGTTGATTTAAGTTTGCAAGACTTCCAGGGCAGGAATGACATCCCACTAGCTTTTGTTCAGTTCCAAGTGTAAGGCCCGAAACAGTGGTGGGCCTCTAGATGCCAATATGCTACAAATTAAAACAGCACACACTTGAAGATCCGGTTTCTTTAAACATTGACCTGTAGGCCTTGCATCACTGGCTGTACGCTTCTGGGATAGGCTGAACAAATTTGCCTTTTCTTCATGGTACTTAAAAAAAATACCATTACAAAGGTCAACTCATTCTGCTTCCTCAGCTCTTAACAGTCACACCAGTGCCAAATATTGTCTCACAGAAAAGATTGTGCAGTATGGTTATCTACCTTGCAACAATGGTACTCAAATAGATGATAATGCTACTGCCCTAAGAATCTTAAACTCTGATATATGCACAGACAAAACAAGAGAGAGGGGAAAAACAAACAAACAAACAAAAAAACCCAACAA